TATAAATAGCTGCCTAGTTTCACTGTATACTAGATTATTTAAAATGCTATTACCATAAACTCAATGTTTTACTCCAAGTGTTTAGCAAATCTTTGGGATGGAGGGGTACCACCAGACACTGAACCCTGCTGCAAGTTATGCAGCTAAGACAAAATGATTATGTGAATAGTGCCAACAGGTCTTAGGTGGATGTAGAGAATATTTTCATTTACAATAATCATAAATCAATTTACAGTTATTACCTGTACTGCATTTCATTTATATGCTGTATAAATGCTGTATTTCAATTGAATTTCTTTAATGCCATAAACGCCAAGTAAATCATTAAAAGAAATGTCAGCTCTATCAGTGGCAGCTGCTGTTCCTGCAGAAAGAGGAGGGGAGGTGCAGGAGCAGGGCAGCCAGCAAAGCCCACAGCGCTCTGCAAAGTCACTAGTGGGAAAACAACAAAGGCCTTTCCATGCAACTACCACAGATGTGCCCAGAGCCAAACTGTCAGAAGCAGTTAGGGTGACAGCCACTCACAGTTCATTATTTCCTTCTCACAGGTCACTGGGTGACAAGCTGGGTCACCCTGCTTTGTCGGCTGCTCCCAACTTCCCCACAGCCCCCCGGTTCTGATGCCGCCGGAATAAAGGTAAGCTCCTGGAATTAGTACAAATATCTGCAAATGCTCCCTGCAAACGGGAGCGTGGTGTTTAGTACACCTTCCTTTTCAGATGGAGAGATGGCAACCCTCTCTGTGCTGGATTTGTATCTGTACCAGATACAGCTACTAGAATCATTTTGTCAGGATGTGACTAAAGCAGATAATGAAAGCTAATTTGTCACCAATTGGAAGTTTTAACTTTTAGAACACTCACATGGCAGATGCATCATGAAAAATCATTGCAACTTGGGAAAAGATGCTTTTCTCAGAGAGGACTTTCCTCAAATAGAATTCTGAAGGGTTACTTAAAATGAACACAGACAACACAGTCTAAAGCACACATTCTCCTTTGTTTTTTGTTATGTTTTGTTTTTTCGGTTTTTTGTTGGGGTTTTTTTTTTTTTTTGTGGAATGTGTATAAACAGATTTTTTAAATACTCCAGTAATAAATTAGTGCTTCTAATACATTCTTCTTCTGTCTTCATGGAGTAACCAATTTACAATATAGACATAGATAATGACTTTTTCCTCTGTTTTGCCCACATGGAGTTTAAAATTGGTTAACAGAGTATCAAGAATCAAGGTCAAGCCTTTGCTTAGCTGTAACAATGGAAGTGGGAGAAGGTTTCCATTTCCTTGGGGCTATTTCTTAGTCATTTTCCCTACATTAGCAAGTCTTACAAAAATGTAACAACTGAATTTGTCCAAGTGATTCAGAAAAACTAGAATGAAACCAAGTGTCCCAGATGGATCTGTGTCAGTAGTAAATGTGACAAGGTTATCAACATTCTGACTCAGATCCAAGAGAGCTTGTACCTAGCATGCACCCAGCTTGGAGCATAACTAAATTCAGGTCTGGGTTAGAGACCAAGTACCCAGAAACTTGTGAGAGCAAGTTACTTAGAGAAACAAAGTGATCCAATAAGGCCTGAAACTAAAACTGCATCAAAACAGGTGATTAGTTTAGAAGGGTGACCAGCACCTTTCAAAGGGACAATTCTGACATTGAATGTACTGCTAGGACAGCACAAATCTGTTGCAGCTGATACAAGAGCACCATCTTACTTTCCTAGTTGGGCCCAACATATAAAACCACAACAATGAGAGAAATCATTTAAAACACTGCCAGAAGTTACAGAGGTTACATTTCCACAACACTTAAACCATTATTATCTTGACCCAGCAAAGATAATATGTCGTTTTTAATAAAACTGTCCATTCCAAACTATTTTTGAGTGAGAGGAGGCAATGTATTAGCCATCTCCCACACACAAACAGTGGGAATGAGAATTAGGATGGCAAGGAAACCAGTGGTCATTAGTCAATTAAGTCATTAGCTCTTGTGCACTGAGGGAAGAGCACAAATCACAGTCACACAACTCAATGCTCTGCCCAACCTTATCCTAAAAGCCAAGTCTTGCCAGCAGCTTGGACCCTCCATGTCTGCAACTACCTTGTGCTGGGTTTTGGTCTGTCTGGGACTTGTCCCTTTTTCCTCCATGGTATTTGCTGGAATGGACAAGTTTTCTGCCTTTCAGACAAACTCAGGGGTTCTCTCAGGTAAATCAGAGAGGAGGCTCATGCTGTTCTCTCTTACAGGCATCATGTATCATGCAAAGTGTCAAAAGTGTGAGATGCATTAAGTAAACAACATTGGAAAAACACTCGGTAAGATGTCTGCAAAGATGCTAAGGACTTGCTCAGACTACTAACATGAGACACACAAAAAACTCCCCAAAACTACAACTTCATTTCACTGTTACCTTAATACATGTCAGAGGAACATGTAAAACTTGCTGAACAATGTGCAGGTAAGACAGCGACTGCCTGCAGCCTTCAACCAGCTACGATAAATACGGAAAACAGTCTGAAAGTATGAAAATTATGCAGACAGCCTTGCAACCTAATTAATTATATCCTTTGAAACTTAACCCTATTATAGTGCTCTGCCTACCCCATGTTATAGAGTAAGGATTTCATTGGCTGTTGTGGCTCACTGTCAAAGGGTGGCTGCTCCTCAGGAACCAAACACTAAATTGGACATAGCTGAGATGTATGTTCCTATGAAACTAAGCTGGAAAACAAAACCTTTAGGGCAGGACTCAGTAGCTTAAAGGGAAACACTGGCTGGTGTTTGGGACTGTCACTGTACCCCAAGGATGTGCATAGTTCCACAAATCCATCACGGTGCTGGCAGGAGACTTGCAGCACTCCAAAGCAGCTGGATGCCTGGTGATACCCCACATAACACCTCAAAACCCCTCTGCACACCTGTGTCTGCGCAGCTGAGTCTCCTTCCCTCCCTCTCAGCAAAGCAAAGTTTCACCAAAATTGACAAACCTGTTGAGCAGGGCTGTTAACCAAAAGAATTTCACAAGAACCTGTTGAACCTTGCAGGAACAGTGATCATAATCCTCAATTTATCGACTCATGTAGCTGGACCAACTGAACACAGGTATCTTTTCCTCTAACACACAGTTCATACCTCATTTGTGCTCCTGGAAGTTTTACACATTAGGCAGAATTTCTTTGCTGTTTGGAAATTGAACAGCTTTTCAAGTCACAGGAGATAAAACCCTGTCTCCTTATCTTACATCACTTTTCAGTCACTGAAAGGATTCTACAACTACAGAGTGGGATGTGGCAGGTGTTTAACAGAATACGTTAGTACTTTTCACAATCTAGTGGAAAATTGCAGAAAAGGGATTTCAAATCATTTAGTACCTCCCTAACAGTGGGAACTGCAAAAGTTTTGCATTAGTTATAATTGGTATTTAATGCCAAATATTTCTGACAGCAAAATAATGTTATTTTGGTATTAAAATGAATTTTTATACATCTAATTCAAGTTCAAGAAAATGTTCCAGGCTGCAAAGTCTACTTTTGGAAGATCTTGACTGCAGAGAGCTTTCTAAATCAAATACGTTTGTTCTGCAAGAGATTTTTTTGCTTAGTATTTATACCCTATTATATCCTGAGGCTAAAAGAACAGACATTTAGTTGGAAAATCTTTTATTTCATTGTACTGAAAAGAAGTTAAGTAGCTTTTAGTGACCCTGACATCACATGACATATTTAAAGCACGCAAATCCATACTCAAAGCACAGAGGAGCAAATGATGGTGGTTAAATCTTCACATTGCTTTGCAGATGGCATCTCTTGAAAGAGTCAATATAGTCAATAAATAGAGTTTACATTTTAAACATACAAGATGATTCACTAGTAGTTTAATAATTTATTTTTAACAAAGCTTCAGAGTTATTTGATCCATCAAATTACCCAAAATACAGGTGAGCTACCTCTACCTATGCAGCTCCTTAAAAGCTGCGGGCAGCCAACACTTTGAAATACCTCAGTCATGGCACAGCCTTCAGGCACATTTTGAAAAACATTTCAGGCACAAAAAGACTTCATATTTGTAAAATAATATTATAAAGGAATACCTGGAGTTGAAGTCCTTGAAGGAGGACTTTGAAAAACATTTCGAAAAACATTTCAGATAAAACCAAAAGTACTTGTAAAATAATATTACGAAGGAAATACCTGAAGTGGCAGTCCTTGAAGAAAGGCCAGAGGAGCCAATCTATGGCTTCTCTAAGGGGAATTCTTCCAAGGGAAGAATTACAGCAACTTAGATGAACCAAACCCTCTTGTTGCTTGAATCATCTCAAATTACTGCCATTAACAACAACTTTAGAAGTTCAGCTTCATTCCTGATAGCAAGTGATGCCTTGTGACCAAAATGGCAGCTCCATTTTTAATATATTTTGCTCTAAAAATACCTCCAAAACCACAAAGATAACCAGCCAAATGCCATTTCTAAAACACTGTTTCAGTTATCTAAAGAAAGACAAAGTCTTCTGCCTGCTGTCAGTAGAAGCAATTAAGAACACTACTCCTTATCTTTTACTGAAATTAAAATCCAGTCCTACATGGAAAGGGACTGTCACTTTGTGTTTTGGCTCAGCATGACTTTCAGGTTTCTAACAAAACCTTTACCATTTAAATTTAAGTCTTGTGCCACAAAATATGTCACAATGTTGGAACAAATCCAATTCATTTTTGTATTTTGCACCATGTGAGGTTTGTAGATAAAAAATTTAAAAGTAAACTTGCAATTGCTACCAAACATCATTCACCACATCAATCTTCAAAAGAATAAAAAAAAAAAAAGAAAGAAGCACATAAATGTCACCCCTTTTCATTAATTTTGGTCAAAAACTCTGTTTGCTTACCAGCCAGAGGGTTTCTGAGATATTTCAATAATATCCAGGAAATCAATCTTACATGAAACTGAAGGAAAACATCTAATGTCATTGAACAATAAATATCAGTTCTGTCAGTGGCTTACCTTTGAGCTGGGGCCTTAGGATGTTTCTCCTCTAGTTTCCTCACCAGTGCCACTGTCAGCTGTGCAGTCTGCCCCAGGGGATCTGCAGGCATTAAATGGGCGTCCAAAGGTCCTGAAAGTTGTTTCTGATTGGGGTTGATGACATTTTTTGGGGTTTTTTTTCCCAGAACCTAAGAGATGAAAGTGCAATTTATATATTGCTAATTATAATAATGTGTGTCTACTTTTTCAAGCAAGGCTGTTGATTAGCAGGAAATGTCAGAAATACAAATAGTTATGTCAAGATGCATCAAGAAGCACAAATCTAGAGATTTAGTGGTCTGGGGTTTTGGGGTTTTTTTGTTCGTCTTCCTTACTTCAGGTTTTTCCACATAGAAAATAAGAAATTTCCAGAATTTGCACTATAAGAATAAACTGCTCTGAGACACAAATGGATGTAATTTTTTCTTCTTCTATAATCCTACTATATTATTTGCCTTATTAAGAAAAACCTTATTAAGAAATCAAATAACAAAATTAAGAAATTTAAGAAAAATTAAGAAATCAAATAGTTTTGTTTTTTTTAAGGAAATAACCTTCCACACTGATATTTCTCTTTCCAAAACCTGTTTTTGAAAGGACTGTCTCTGACCTGCCTCTGGCTTAGTGCTGTGACCTCTTCTGCTGAGCTGCTGTCTGTCTCCTGATGAGCTGCAGCCCAGGCCCCATGGTGAATGTGGTTTTCTGTCTGGGTCACCTCCTCTCTTTCATTTAGCTCCTCTAGGTAGGTCAGGACAAACTCAGGGTAAGCCTGGAGGAAAGGACAAAGGCAGAGGAATAATGAGGAACAACATCAGCTACATCAGCAGAATCACAACAGCCCGAGCACCAGGGAACAGTGGGAGAAGTGGCTGCTGGTGCACCAATGTCACAGGAGCTCCTGCACGGACAGGCCTTTGTGTTCCACAAACTTTTCAAAGTCAGGGTTAAATAATGACCTTTTCATATGCACTACAATGAAAAACCAAAAGTACTGTAATATTATATATATATATCAGTTTGAGAATAAAGCCAAACAGCTCTCAAAATGAATATTGTTATATGTATCAGTTTAAGAATAAAGCCAAACAGCTCTCAAAATAAAAATTTTTGTAATAGAAAGATAAAATTTTGTATCCTTGGCTTTTGGGAAAATTTATTTAGTTATAGGTGACGTTTTTGATACATTTCCATGTGGTACATTAAAAGACTTTAAAATTGCATTTATTCCGAATATTATTATATATTTAGAAATATATATATGAAATATATTAGTTCAGAATATTCATAATAGTCTGAAATGAAGACACATACTACACAGAAAAAGCCTTTGTGATGGTTTTGAAATCCGAGTAAATTTTACTGGTTTAATTCCTCAATTCAGTCAATTTGCCTCATTAATGCTCTTTAGGTCCTTGCTTATGGGGCAAAATGCCCCAAATAAAAAAGACAATCATCAACTATGATCTGTTGACTTCAAGGCATTAACATCTCATCTACTTAGCCTTGTAAAATCCAGATTTTGCACCATGGAAATGTGTTTAATGTTATTTATTTTGCATTTTCTCAGGTGTTACTTCAATTCAAGCAGTAGTCACCCCACTATCCTCATGATGGAATGGGAAGAACTTACAGAAAACATTATTTATTTATGATTGAAATTTTCATTTAAGGTTCTTTGAGCAGCTATATTACTTTTAACAGAAAATACATATAGATATTAGGCAGACTAAATTAGACCAAGACCAGAGCTATGAAAATGACAGGTAACACTAACAAATTATACAAAAATCAATAATCTATTGTAACCTCGTAGTCACAGAATGAAATGTACAACAAGTACAAGGAAAGCCCCATTTTTCTGTTCCGTCATTCATTGAATAAACAGAAGTAATTCCATTTACAAGGCAGGTAACACAGCAGTAGTTAAACACTTGGGCCTATTTCCCAAAGCCAGTTCTGAATGGGCAACCCAGAGATTCAGTGAACCTTCTAAGCTCAAGTGGAAAGCAGAATACCAAAACTTCGAGTTTTGAGAAGACTTTTTTCCTTGTATCTTAAGAATACTCAGTAATATTAAAGCATTTAGTAGTTTTGATCTTGATTTGTACTGGAAAATTCCAACAGTTTAGCTTCAGTTGCATGGCATTTTCTTGAGCCTTCTCTCAGACTTTTCCCATGAGTGCAGTGATTTTCAATTTAGGACCACTTATATTTTACTTTAAAATAAACCCCTTCAAGAGCAAGAATACAATAAGCAGTAGGGGGCTTTTATTCCTTAAGGAAAAAAGTTCTTCACTGATCAATAACAGTGACTATCCTGCTGTTTATCAGCTTGTATGGACAATATATTACAAATATAATACAACACCCAATATATACAATAGATAATATATTCCAAAACATTTATCTCCTGCTTCATGGTTCCATCCACATTTTAATTCTGAGTAAATAAACTCAGATTCATAGTATATCTTCAGACTGATAATTGACTTGTACTTTCATTTATTTGGAGTTTTAAATTTACTTTTTTTCAACTTGTCTTTTGTTTAAGTTGTCCATAAGGTTTACCTGAATGAGAGCACATAACTTGACCTTTCACAAATATGAATACAATTAAATATTAATATTTTGACTAAAATGTAAGGGAAAATATCAAGATTAATTTGTTGTTGCTGCATAAGAATAGGTGGGAAAAAAATCGGTATTGAATTAAGGATCATCTCAAAAACACCAGATGATTTTACTGGATAGTTTTTTCAAAATATTTTATGTAAGTATTTCCACATAAATATTTTCTGATTGCATAGGGAAGTCATGCTCATGGCAAACACAGTGAGCAGTAGGTACTAGCTCCAAGAAAGTTGAATTTCCTTCTCAATCTGGATGTGTCACATATCATTACCCTGCACTGTGCTGCTTTCCTTTATGTCAGCTTTTGTTGGCCTACATATGCTGCAACTTAAAACAACATGACACTCCAGATAAAGTGGATGTGAAATACATGGAGAAACACACCATTTTCCAGGGAGCTCTGCTGTTAACCACTATCATCTTTCCTGAAAAAAAGAAACACAGGCAAGAACCAAGCAGTGTTGTAGTTATTAACTCTCAAAAACTTCAGAAATCTCCCTCCTCATGATACACAAACCACTTTTTTTTTGTATAAATAGCAGTCAATGTGCTTAGAGAAATAAAGAATTGTGCAGCTGTCAACTTAATTTATGGATCTGGATCATTCTGGAAAAACTCCAGTTAACGGACAGAACCATGGTGACCATTTCTTCAGAATATTGGGAGTTTCGCTGCCATTCAAACCCTCAATCTGACCAAACATACTGGAAAGGAACCTCTCAGCAGTTTATTTCTCCAGGAGAATATGTTTGTTTTAATCAACAATCTATTTTGAAAGGATTATTTTCTTCAGCTATGCAAGAGTAAGGACAACCAAACCTAATCAAAGAACATTTCACTATTTACTAATGTTTGGCCCTATTTGTTCCATAAATGAATAATTTTTATTTTGTGCTTGTTAACTGCTAATAGAAGGCATTAGTAGCATAACCAGCTTGAGCCCAGTGGTCTTAATTTCTATCCCAGAATGTGTTTTAAGCTTTTGTTAACCAAGATATATATAAAAGCAAACAACTAATTTTAGATACCAATGATTCTTTAGATTTTTTTTTTTTAGACTGGTCTCACTTCTAAACACTGACTCTTTGTCATCACAGGTTACTACACAGATGAAAGAATAAGGCTCATTTTTGCCATGTAATTGAAATAAATAAATAAGAAAAGCACTGCATTTCAAGGAACAAATCATTAAAACAAAAATTCCCTATGAAAATTATGAATAGGTTCTGTTCAATTTAAAAAGGTTTTAATAAAACACAGTATGTTTCCAGTTATTTAAGAAATATAAAATATTTATGGAAATAACATGAGCAATGACATCACAACACCAAAAGAGCAATTCATTGAAAGCTTCATTTTGAAAAAGGGAAGACAAAAACAAGTGAGAAAAACCCTCACAAAAATCCATTTCATGGGAAATACAAATACTTATGCTGTTTCCAAAACCCATGTTACCAGAGGTCAAAAATAAATCAGCAGATAAAGCAGTATTTATACTTGAAATAGCATGGTTTCACCAGGAAAGAACACTTGATTTCCGAAACTAACATGATAAAAAATCATCTAGTACAGTAAATAAAGATGTGGAAAAGAATTAAATCCTGTGCAGATTACTCTGTTGAATAAAAGAATTGGGAAATGAGTCATGCCTTAAGATTTTGGAGGGAAAATGAATTAATGTTAATAATGGTGCAAATTAAATCAGAAAACCTACTTCAACCAGAACAGTTTTCCAGCTCTATATGATACTGACAACACTAGACTTCACAAATCAGGTTCAAAATTATTGCTTTTCCCATTTCTCTTTTACAGCATTTGAACCCAAACCATATTAATTAAGAAAAAAAAGAACAGATTTCTGAAAATATATATTTTTTAATCTAAGACATACCAGTTCTGTTGGAAATGATCAACAATGCAACTCCCATAGCACTTCTGGGCTGCCCAAAGATGAAAGCATGTGATGAAGGGCATTGTCCAAATGCCTCTAAACCATTGTGGGAATTGGAAAATCCAGAAATTTCTACAGACACTGGAGGGTTTGTTTTGCAGCCTTGGAAGAAGTTTGGGTTGATGTAAAAATACAACACATGGACACTAAGCAGAAAAATAATGAACTTATGTTCCTATAGTTGTAGGTGAAAATATGCCTTAAGTGAGAAACTGTATTGGGTAAGATGGTGAAGGGTTTATAGCGTAGGGGTGTGCTTGTATAGAATAAATTAAGAGTTTAGAAGTTATAACAGAAGCAGATGTGTGCATGCGAGACAGAAGCCTATTGAGGAAAAGCACCCACAGTGCAGCAGAATTAAGTAAAGGCAAAATGTTAGAAGAGCAAAATACACCCTGTGGCAGCTGTCTGTTGGGTTAGAAAGTTCTGTATTGCTGTGTAGCAAAGAACTTGGGACTACTCTGAGCTGTGGCCGAGTTCTTGCTCCTCTAAAATCTCACAGCCTCTGAGGCTGATGTTTATCTGAGCAATAAATCGTTCTTAGCCCAAAAATAGTCCCATCCCTTCATCTCTGGCAGCAGCAATGATAAACCATGACAGGCCTGGGGCAGCAGCTGCTCTCTAGAAGGCAGTTCCAGCATTTGACCACCTCTCCACAAAGAAATGCATCCTCATACCCAGTCTGGACTTACCCCAGCACAGCTTTGAAGTGTTTCTGCTCACCACTGGATCCCAGGGAGAAGAGATTCCATGGTCTCCTCTTACCCACCCCCCCAGCAGACTGCAGAGAGCAACGAGGTCACCCCTCAGCCTCCTTTTCCCTGTCACAGCCGAGATGGCCACCATACACAGAGTGTCACCCCAAAATATCAGAAAGCTTTAAACATTCTCCCAAACACAGTAACACCTCACCTCATCAGAGGGCTTCAGGCATCTGCCCACACACAGTAACACCAGAGCACTTCAGGAGGCTGCAAATGTCTGCTCCTGTGTCCTTCAGCCCCCTTTATGCCCTGCTGTTGGTGCAGTGCCCCTGTGTGCCCTCTGCTCCCTGCGGGGTTGGGCAGCACCCCTGGGCACTCCATGGCTCCTCACCTTCAATAGCATTCACCTGTGCTGCACAGCTGCAGCCCATTAGGGATCAATTAGGGATTAATTAGGCCAGCCCAAATCACCACCAACTGTGTGCCTACATGTCCCCAAACCAGACAAGCCCACAATCCTCAGGGGCTCCTCCACAGCCTGTCCTTTCCAACCCTTCCATGAGCTTTGTTGCTCCTCTCTGGATGCATCGAGGACCTTCACACCCAATCTGGGAGGCCAGAGCTGCACACAGCACTCGAGGTGAGGCCCCACCAAGCTGGGCTCAGCAAGATCAGCTCTTGTGCTGGACTGGCTGAGCTGGTTTTAATCCCCCCGGAATGGAGTTTGCCCTCCTGGCTGGCAGGCACCCCCAGGCCCCTGTCTGCAGGCTGCTCTCTACCCTCTCCCAGTTCACACCAGTGCCTCGTGTCACTCATCCCAGAGGCAGAATTGGCCTGGGGTGACTTCATGATGCTCCTATCCCCATTCTTCTGTTTAGCCCAGAGATAGGTTTTGCACCTTGAAAGCTGGTTCTGAGTGAAGAGGGGGGAAGAAGAAGCATGGAGTTTGTTTCCACAAACTGCAATCATTCCTTTACGTTCCTGCTCCTGTGTTTGCAGATGGACAGATGGCAGGACAGAGCTCTCCTTTGCTTTTAGTTGGTTTTTAATTAGCTGAGGCAAAGAACTTCCCTGGACTGGTTTCTCTTTTTTTTTTTTTTTTTTTCTAAGGAAAAAGAAAAAGGATATATATATATATAATTTCTATATAAACCGAGGCAAAGAACTTCCCTGGACTGGTTTCTCCTTTTTTTTTTTTTTTAGGAAAAAGAAAAAGGACATATATATATATATAATTTCTATATAAACCTACTCTAGACTAAAAACCCAGAAGAACACTGACAACTCACACCTATAGCCCACCAGACCAGACCTAAACCACAACATTTCCATCACTGAAGGGGCTAATAAGAGACTAAATCAGCCCGCAGAGGGAACTTTCTGAGTTTCATGGTCTCTTTTAAAATGACAAAAGATTTTATTGTTTAATATTATCCCATTTTGGGATAATGTACTAATAAATGCTTTACCTATTAAAGAAACAGGTTTCTTCCACTTTTCTTCAAAGAAATCTTTTTCCCGAACCAATTAGGGAGGGGACCACTTGAATTTACTTACCAGAGGAAACCTCTTCAGAGGTTTTCTCCAAAATTTACCCAAAACCAAGACAAGAATCCAGCATTTGGACTTGCTAAATTCCATCCCATTGATATTTGTCCAATTCCCCAGTCTATCTGGATCCCTCTGCAATATGTCTCATCTTTCAAGAGAGTCAACTGCACATCCCAGTTTGGCATCAGCTGCAAACTTGCATTCAAATCCTGCATTTGGATCACTGATAATGGAATGGAACTGAAGTGGCCCTGGAACTGGGCCCTCAGGAACACCACTGGTGGCTGCTCATCAGCCTCATAGAGCTTCATTTCTTTTCTCAACATATAGAGATAAATAATATATGGATAAATCCAAAGATTCACATCTGTATACGTGTGTGGCATTTTGTTTCACCATCTGTGTTATTGAAATACCCAGTAAATATATCAGAATGTAATAAATTTCCCCAGAATAATAACCTCAACCTGATTTTCAACCTGAGAATTGCCTCTGCTTCTGAAGGTTCACCAAAAAATATGACAGAGTTTTGAAAGCTTAACGTATTGGAATGCAAAGACTTTCTAGTAAGGTTCTTGAAACCACTCCAGATTTTATTTATTTATAGGTTAAAGAAAAGGTGAAAATCAGCTCATGAGTCAAACTATGTAAAATGAATGGGTTGTCCTTGACTAGTTTTTATATATCAAAAGACAGACAAGATTTTCATCCCAGATGTGAAAGTTGGGAACAAGACATGCTAAGAAGACACAAAGTATTCCTGACAGTAAGGCCAAACTGAAATCTCCCTGCCAGTCCAACAAGCTCTGCAACGTTAAATAAATTTTAAATTATTTTTATCTATATCAGCTGAACAAAAAATCAGATAGTCACAAAACTTAATTTCCACATATCTGCTAAATTTTTATGATATAAAGATATGATCTAAAGGTATGATATAAAGATAACTATCTTTATCTAAGTGTTTTTTTAAACTGAAAAGCAGCTTCAAGAAATGAAAAGGCACTGCAAACACAGAGCAATATTTATTAATGTTTAAAATACAGTTTATAGTCCTACTTTCTCTGAGATCTACACAACCTATGTAACAAAATATTTTGAGCCTTCAGTGAAAAAAATTCATGTAAAAAAACCTTTAAATTCAAAAGCCCAAATTTCAATTAGGATTTGTTTTATGCTGGTTTTTTTCCTCTAATTTCAGTTTTCCAGATTTCTTTGTTCCCTGTGAATTTTGATGCTCTATGGTTCTATAAATAGTTTCTTTCTAACATGACAGTTGAACAGAGGTTTCTTCAATAAATGCAGTTTTATCAAGCCTTCAAAGAGAAGCTATTCTTGCCCTGCAGTTTCAGGGTGTTTACAAAAACACATTTCCCAAGTAATGTCCTACATCAGGCAAGAAAGAATCCTTCACATGCCAACATGCAGACAGTTGCTCAAGGATATATCAGCCAGCCAGGATCCTGCATGTCTGACTGGCACAGCACTTGCTTTAAATGTAAATAAATCCAAACTAGGTCCAGCACACAATCTTATTCAGCTGGGACACATCTAGGGAATGGCTGGCAGAGGTGGGGGCTCTTTTTCTCCCTAAGTGTCAGCCAGTGACAGATCTCAATGACACCCCACGCTATTTTTCTACAGGGAGTACCAAGAAGCAGAAAGACACAGACTTCCTACAAATCTTGACATGCCTAACCGTCCCAGGGTATCACATCAGCCCCTTTAGGTTATTTCGATTTGATCTACATATCCATGAAAATAAAAATCAATGTGCCCAATGGTCTAGTAAAACATTCACCCTATCCTGTGCCGCCGTTTCCTCTCTGCAAAGTCCAGGCATAAAAGGCACAGTGACCCTTGGAGCTGTGCCACTGGGAGCACATCCATCCCAGCAAAGGATGGCATGCTCAGCCAGGTCTAATTTATTAACAGGTCTTGCCCCGGACTCTTCTGGGATGGCCTAGGCCTGGTTAGAGTGAATGCTGTAAATACTTGCAGGTGTTTTTACAGGAGCCACATAGAAAGACAGTAAGTGGAATTTTTTTGAGGTTCTTGACAGCAAATATTTATATGAATATATTCCTTTATATGAATATATATTCCTTTATTTATGAATATATTTTTACAAATAGATTCCTTTTTTAATATAATTTTGTCACATCATAGAGGCTTCAATTTACCAACAAAAAATGTCAGAACATTTCAATGTTTGAGACAAAAATATTGATTGATACAAGGAGAAAATCCTTCAGTACTGAATATTAGATCCTCCCTATTATTCACCATATGGGGCCCTGGTTTCAAAGTGAAAGCAGTGCTGCTGAAAGCAGCAAGTATTTTCTTCTATTACAACACTGAAGTTGGGCAAGATTTACAGATTTTAAAGAGGAAACAAGGCATAGAAAACACAAAAAAACACATAAAAACACATAAAAGAGACAAAAAAAAAAACACATAAAAGGGAGCCAACAATGCTGAAGATGAGCAAAATATCCACCTGACATAGTGCAGACACACTCTACTCCTTGTTGGAGACAGCTAAAGCAGCCCTCCAAAATGCAACTTGCTCCCTACAGCACCAGAGAAAACTTGGAGCTACCCAGAATATACTGTGCAAATAAAAACAAAATAAACATTGTTCTTTTGGTGGGGAACCAATAGAAGAATAGATAGGCATGGCTCAAACCTGAGACAAAATTTTAGCTTTCACTAATTTTAAATCCATATAAACCAGGTCTGGATTTAGGTCTGGAAAGCAAATGTTATACACTGCATATAATCCCTGTTTTCTTTGCATATTTTGAAGTATCAAAGTTTTTAAAAATGCAAATCTTCATCACCATTTAACATATTTAATACCGTAGGTATTGAGATGTAATGGTAATTTCGTGACTAGTTGAAAAGTTGGTATTTCCTTCCTATCAGTTTAAATATCAAATGTGAGCTATAACATAATAGAGGTTGTTGTAGTGTGGATTATTTACTATATGAGAACTAATGAAACCAAACTATACCACAGATACACCAATATTATCCAAAAGACATGCATTAGCCTATATAAAAGAAGGGTTAGTGCAGATGCAGAGCACCTTTCCTGCACATTTGTAAGTTTTTATTCATTTACAGATGTGCCACCACCATGTATTTCAGCTGCAATTGGCTGACTAACCTCTGTACTGCAGCTCAATTCAGAATCCTTCCAGCCCTCCAATGAATGGAGAAAAAGGAGGAGGAAAAAAAAAAAATAAAGGTTTGAATAAGTTGAAAGAACCAGAAAATTCAACAATGTGTCACAAATAGAGAGGTCATTATGCCTGGATAAGCCAGGATATTAACAGTTGCAGAAAGTGAAACACTACCCACAACTTAGCAGTCAATGAGCCCTGCTCAGAACCAGTGATCTGCTGTACAACAAGGGTGGCATTTTACAGTTCAGTGAGAAATGGAACAGACCCTTGATATCTTCATTTGTCCTTTTGCTGTGCATATTTCACAGTGCAACGATTTAGGGTCCATAACGTGTCACTTGTTATAACTACAGAGTTTACTTGAAATATGTATGCACAGAAAAAAAAAAGTTCAGTGAACTGCAAAGATTGCAACAAATCCATATTCTTTGGGTCAATATAAAGTTTTACTCCAAGTCTGAAACAATGTTGGTTAAACATACCAAAAGTGCAGTCTGAACTATTTTTGCTTCGAACGCAAAATTTACTACAACATTTACAACATGTGATTTACTTTTTAAAAAGCATGTTACACACCAGATATTATTATAATTTCACATTC